AAGAACACACAAAACAAATGTAAAACATGTCAGTAGTAACATTTAGATGGATGACGTGCATAAATGTGGAATTTCAATATTCTGGATATACTGAGTTAAGAAAAAAATATGAAAATGAATGTCATTTGTTTCATCTTGCCTTTTTAAACTGTTCTGTCTGAAAATTTAAAATTGCACACGTGGCTCACACTGGGCTTCGACTAGACAGAGATGTTCTAGCTGGTCCACCAAGCGCTGCTCTCTCTGACCCAGCCCTGGAGCCCACCGAGGTCTGCTCACTCCTTGGGATTATGATACAATCCTATTCCTTTGTTAGTGTCTCTGCCCGGGGACTCAGCCCCGTTACCACTCAGCCTCCAACCAGGCTCCTGGTGACAAGAAGCCCTCTGTGGGTGGGTTGGGGGCAGCCTGGCTGTCTAGGGATGGTGGCCGCCTGTCGTCTGGGGCCTGAGTGCACTCAGGGCCAGTGTGTAAATGTTGGGTGTCGTGGCCTCGATTCAGCCCGTCCTGGCAGCGAGAGCTCATTGTGCTGGCGGATTCCTGCCCTTATTTAGGTCAGTGGCCACATTACCCCGGAGTCCAAGAGAGAGTTTCTATGGGGTTTTGTCTTTGCCACTCTTGGCTACTCTGTCCCCTCTTTGCAGAAAACACCACTTTGCGGAGACACTAAAACTTGAAAAAATCCAGCGATCTGGTTTCCCCATGCTGTTCACTCCCCCATCCCGACGAAACAGCCTGCTCACAGTGGGATTTGTTCCTATTTCCAAAAGTTAAATACATCGTCACAATCTCACACCGCTTCATTTGGGGGAAAGAATCACATCCCATGCTTTTTACCTGCAGCTCAGTTTTCCAAATCACACCTGAGACAAACGCTTCCACCCTTCCCCTCACAGCAGCGGGTTTGAGAATCAGAGGGCCACTTTGGCAATGAACCGTGAAACCATTTGCAAAGCTTGAGAGAGGCCAGGAACGTTTGGCGGGCCACGCCCCCCTCTCCCAGGTGAAATATGGGACATGTCTTCTTCATCACAAAATAATCAGTGGCATTGACTTAGATGTGATCCAGTTTTGAAAGGAGTCTTGGGAGAGTCTAGAGTCAAAGACTAATTATATTTTCCTATTGTTTATCTTCTAAATGATTTTATTTATACAAATAATACAAGGCTGTATTCTCATTGTAAAAAAAAAAAAAATCCCAATAGTACAGAAGTGAGTGACAGAAACCTCACACCACTGCCACCTCCCGGACTCTGTTCTCGGCTTTTGTTCCTGATGAAACATGATGTCTGTGGGTCACGTTCGGCGGCCAGCCCTCCCTCCTCCTGCCCACCAGGCACGCCTAAGCCTCTCTTGACTGAGAATCCACGCGGCTGAGAGCCAGGCCCCTGGCAGGAACAGGGACGAGTGAGCTCAGACCACCGCTCCAGATTTAAGCAAAGCCAACCTTTTACCTCATCTTAGAACCATTACAAGATGGTCTCCCACCAGTTCCTAGAAGGTAAGGGCCAGGGTTTACTCCTCCTGCACCCTCAGTGTCCAACACAGGATCTGGCATGCAGGAAGTCATCAACAGACATTGGCTACACGGCCCGAAGGTACACCTTTTTTAAAAAAAAAAGAAAAAATTGCTGTTGCACAGTGATTTCCAGTCACTTCAGGAACTCCATGGAATCTCTCCAGAATATGGGGAGGGGCAACGTACCCAGGAAAGCGGCAGCCCAGCCTCTGCAGCCCAGGTGGCCCCATCTGTTTGCCGGGCTAGGGACTCCCAGGCTTCACTCCGGCTCTGTTCTGAGGCAGCTGCAAACACCAGATGGCCAGACAGCCCTGAACCACCTGGGGACTCTGTGCATCAGGGTCAGCACCTCCCTCAGGTGGCAATGACCCACACCCACCCAACCAGATGGGCTCTCTGCAGGAGGCCTGCTCCCTGGGGATTTGGTCTAGGGTGGTGGCAAGGAGTCAAGTTTCACTCCCTCCAAAATCTTTTTCAGCTACTGGTAAAATCCACCCTGTTTACTAACACTGTCTCCTTCTCTGCTCAATCAGCAAACGTTTACAGAACAAGTGCCCCGTGGAGAACACTGAGCTACAAGAAGACACATGAGCAATGTTTCTGCCCACCAGGGATTTTCAGTCTCTGTGGGAGACACCAAATCAGGAGTGGAGTTAACCGACAATCCAAGGGCGTAATGGGTCACGCTTGTGGTCTGGGCCATCGGTCCTGAAGAATCAGGACTAGACTTGTTCCCTCTCCAGGCCACAAGCTCGGTCACAAGCTGTGACACTGAGCAGGCACCAAATTCTCGCCCTCTCTCACCTTGCAGGCCACTTCCAGACCAAACTAAAGGGAAGAGGAAGAGACAGGGAGTGCATTACTCATTGTCTCGGACAATGGGGAACGTGCATCAAAGCTTTAAAACGCAGGCCCTGTGACCCAGCAGCAACCTCCGGGAAAGCAAGGGTGTGCGGAAATGTATTTTACCGAGTTGTGTAAAACATGGTTTGTAAATGAAAAGCTTAAATGTCAAACAATAAAGATTAAATGGGAATAAAAACAGTACCTATCTCCCAGGACTGCGTGATGACAAAGTGAGTTTGTGTGTAACACTTAGAACATCGCCGGGCACAGAGAAAGTTCTACACAGTCATCCCCCCCTTATCAGCGAGGGAGACCTTCCAAGACCCCCAGTGGATGCCTAAAACCTCCGATAGTACCACACCCTCCTGATACTATGCCAGTCCTTATACGTACATACCTAGAATAAAGTTTAAAGTTTAATTTATAAATTAGACACAGTAAGAGATGAACAGTAAGAAAGAGTAATAAAATGGAACAATTATAACAATATACTGTAATAAAAGTTATGTGATGGCTTTGGGGCCATTCTGAAGTAAAATAAGGGTTATGTGAACACAAGCACTGTGCTACCTCGACAGCTGACCTGACAACCTAGCCAGTTACTAAGGGACTCCTGGTGGGCGTATGTACAGCGTGGAGATACTGGACAAATGGATGGGTCATGTCCAGGCGTGCAGAGCGGGATGACGCGAGATTTCATTGCGCTACTCATGATGACGTGCATTTTTTTAAAAACCATATGAATTGCTTATTTCTGGAATTCCCATTTATATTTTTGAACCAAGATTGACCAAATAAGGGGGACTACTGTATAAAACTTCATCATCATCATTGTCATCTTTGTTATTGC